CAGCCCATACAGTGACTAAAAATCATCATTCCAGCCCAAGCAGACTTGGGTTTTGTGACATGAGCCTGAAAAGACTCGGCATCCGCTAAATCCCAGAAACTGGTTGAATGGAATGAAAGCATTTCTTTCCAGAGGAGTGTAAACTAAAAGAAAGTATCTGCTGCATTCAAGGCAGGTGTGAATACTCACTCATGCATTAGGTGAGCCCTCACTGTTTTTCTCCAGTATCTGAGTGAGTGGGAGGGTTCCCTCTGTGCTCTCCGGTGTCTTTGTGCAGCCTCCAAGCCCGTGAGTGCTAACTGCCCCCGATGCTCCTGAAGGTGAATGTGGCTGCTCTGGCTTCCCCTGAGATCCTCTTTTGTTGCAGGAACCTCGGAGCTCCCTTTGCACAGGGCCTCCCAACCAGTTTAGCTCTTGCTTTCCTCATCCTGAGGATTGAGGATCGCTCTTTCCCATCGCAGCTGAAGCTATCACCCTGTTCAGCTCCTGAATAGTGTTAACATAAGTGCCTGCCTCAGGAGGGGTTAGCACTGTTTGTCCCACATTTTTTTCAGGTTTTCTAACCCTGGGAGTTTGGGGTTGCTCAACTGAGACTGTGAATTCTGTAGTCTTGTAGTCTGCCAAGGATCAGATAGAGATCCTCAAGTGCAGATACTGAGTGCCTTCCAGTGCAGCGCCTATTGTAACTGTATCTTACTGTGTTTCTGAGTGGCAGATAAACTGTGTGCAAATAATAAACAACAACATTTCTCTGTTCTTTTCTTTTATTAAGCTGACAACATTTAATAATTTGTTTTGCTGAAATTGTGTGTTTTTGTGAATGTTTTATTAGTTCTTATCATAAGTGCTAAACATTCTTTCAATTTTATTTCCATTTCTTTTTTATTGTAGAAATGCTAGATGACCATAAGACTAGCAAATGTCTGGGCTAATAGAAAAACTCATTATAATTGCTATTATAGACATACAAAAAAGGTAAATCGAGCTCCCCCTCCACATGCACAAGTGAGGAAGGAACAGAAAGACTCTTTACTTTATTGAACAGATTAAACCCATGTCCTTTTATAAGGACTTAAACGTGTAAATCTTTGTCATGCTTTTGCTCCCTGCCACTGTGTATAACTTAATGGAAGTAGGTGGTCTACTCACCTGAATATAAAGGTTTTGCAATATCCAAAGCTATTTTTAGAATATGAACTCTACATAACTACCAGTAGTCTCCCTAAGGTTTGAGGTTGTTGCATGAATCTAGCTTGTGTGAAGGAGCCCTTTGAAATGGGTTTTTTACATTGAAAGCAGGCTTATTTGTTAGCGTAATATAAATAATCTGCTGCTAACTCTAAGTCCACCTACTTTTTGAGAAACCCAGAAAATTTCTGCTAGCATATAAAATATTGTTTATTGGCTAGATGAACTGCTAATGCTGTAAAGAGGATTTGTTACTCAACATATAAGGTACTTTAAGCAGTACATGTGATTCTGGGAGTTATCCTAAGTCTTTAGATGATGAATTAAATGTTGTGATTAAATGTTAATGGCTGCATGTTTGGGAATGGCTGATAAAAGCTAGAAGGATTCTGAGAAACTAAAAAGCTTTAAAGTATTGAGGAGATGCTTAGTCAGCATAATGGCAAATGAAATGTAACTCTGATAAAAATAAATATAGTCATACTGTAATCTGTGATTTTTATAAAAGCTGCTATGTGCTCAGGCTTAAGCACTCCCTAAGAGAAAAGAGCTGAGAGTCGTTGGGAATAATTCAGTGGAAATATCCATCAAGTACATGGCCTTATTTAAAAATCTTATGGATTTTTTTAGGTGCATTGACCATTTGTTCCCTTCCTTTGAAAAGGCCCCACAGGAATTAATTATGGGAATCAATGTACTGCCATTCTAATTGCTTTACTGAGCCATATGATCCAGATCTAGCTGTCTCCATTAGAAAGACCCCAGAAATATTCTGGAGGATTAATTATAAGCACTATGCAACTGCAGGGGAAGAATCCCTGCCAGGAAGACCTGAAAGGCAGTGGATGAGTGTTACTGTGGTACGTGTGTACATGTGGGTATTCCTCATTGGTTCTGGATTCAGCACATTTTTATGACCTTCTGGTGCAATTAAACTGGGAGATACATGCCACAAAAGTATATACATTTAGATTATCTCTTTTTTAGAGGTTAATTAAAAAGCTAACTTTACTCTTAGAGCCTATAAAGACTATAACATAGTTTGGAAAGATCTACAAAAGACAGAAGATGTTAAGAAGACAGCAATGCTTACATAAATAAATAAGACCAAAAACATCAAGGTTGTTTTTCCTGAGGAGAACTTAGAGGCATGTCAGTTGATGTTGTAGAAAATATACTGAAAACTGGCCAGACTCTCCTTTTTATGATATAACTGAGAGCAAGTGGCATGGCTGTGAAATGAGCATACATCAGTTTTGCTGAAACAGAGCGCTGCTGCTTAGCACCTTGGTCAAACCTATCCACAGACATAGAAAGCCATCAAACCAAATGCTCTGGCTGGATAGTTTTATGACTATTTTAGAATTCCATAATAAAAGCAGTTATACAAGCCAAGATTACTTCAAAAAGTAATCAAATGATATGTTTTGGGTCACAGACTGGTTGCTAATGGGAATCAGGAAACAATTTTCCCTTGCTGAATAAGCTCGTTATACTGTGCTTAGCCTAGGGCTGTAGAAACAGGGCTGCTCTGAGAAATGGCATCTCAAGGCAAAAGCTTGGAGGTGGCTCCCTTGGGCAATTACAGCTCAGCAGCCCTCCTGGGAAGAAGCGACCTTGATCTGGGAACAAGGGCAACATTTCTCAGCTTGGGAGGTATTTACTTCAGTTGAAAGAGTCGTATCCTGCAGTAAAAGCTTTTATTCTTTTTCCTTCCACCACTTTTTTCTTTTTCCTTTTTTTTTTTTTTTCCCATGGAACAGATGAGATTTTCCCTGGGTAGCCTGGCCCTGGCCCTGGCCCTGGCCGAGTGCCTTGGGTATTCTTTTTCATCTTTCTCCAAAGCCGCAGGTGTAGTCAGAGCACGAAACTAGCTGCATAAATAGGCTTCCCTGACGTGGTAAATCCTGTGTTCGTGGTAAATCCTGTGTTCCTAATGGCTCATTAAGCAATTTCTAGCTGCCCGAACCAAGCAGCCTCCAAAACAGATTGATTCTGCAAAAGACAGTTGTAGTACAGTCTGTCAGGTTGGGATTTTCCCTTCTTTTTTTCTTCCTTCTGGCTGGCTTTCCTTTTTTTCTGACACTTTTGGATACTCTGTGTGTGTGTGTGATCCCCCCCCCCCACCCAAGGAAGTATTTTCTCTGGTAGGAGATGTCTTGTTTCTTTCATAAATATACATTGTTGTCAGTATGTTACTTTTTACTGACTTTGGAAACCGGAAAGCTAGTTGATAAATAATTGCCCAGTTTTTAGAAGATTTGACTAAGTTCTTCGGTAGTTGATCTTTACGCAGTTGTTAGCAAAAATGTTGTGCTAATTGTTTTCAGACACTAAAAAAAGTGTCTTACACTTAAAAAGTACTAGTGAAAGACCCCCCCACTCTGCCTCTCCTTATTTGTATTGTATGTAGATACTAGGTTTCAGCTTTAAAATTATTTGCTCTTGTTCTTTTGTTGCCAGATGGATTGAATTAATCCCTTATTTTTAACAAAAATGTGAATAATTGGAATTTTATTTGTTGCTTGCTTTCAAGAATAGGTCTATACATTTTTTTTAACTAAAGCCATCCACCTATACATACTTCTACTTATTTTTAGTATGCTTTATTTTCTCATGTGCAGAAGTAGTATGAAATATCAAGTACAGCATTAAGAGTAAAGTTGCTCTCATTTTTAAGCTGGTTACTTAGGTGAGTTTGATCCTGTAGTTAGCTCTCACCAACCTTTTCTGTGGCCGTGGTCAAGTCCTTCATCAGTGCCACAGTTCTCTGGTCTGTAAAATGAAGGTAATGGTGGGCGTGCTTCAAAGCCTGTAAAAATTAATTCCCATATTATTGTAGTAGTTGTTTTTGTTTTTAATACATTTGTCAGAATGCAGTTGCAGTGCAAGCTGTTATGAATAATCATTGCATAAGTTGTTATGAGGGTATCTGTGTTAAATACTTGTTCTGCTTGGTGATCTTTTGTGATCTCCCGTAGGATTAAAGAAAAAGAGCCTGGTAAATAGGATGATGGTGATGATGGTAAACCAAAGGCCCATTTAAAATTTTCTGTTTGTGCTCCTTCCTCCTGGTTTCTAATGGGTAGAAAGTGACAGTGGTTCTCCACTAGGTCTCCAGACCTGAATGGTCAGTTTTCTGCCTTTCTTGTCCAAATAATTTCAAGGAAATTTAGATGTTTCAATATGAAACTGTCACCTAAACTTGGTACTACTTTGAGTCCAAACTGATTTCCCTCTCCCTCCCCCATCTAATTTGGATGTGTGGCCAAATGACTGAAATCATGCTAGAATATATTTCTGTTATTTGAAACTGGCATTGTTTAATTTGAGCTAGAATTTTAGTCCTCGCTTTTCTGTCAAAAATTAATTGGCAAAGTTGATTTTAACAAATTTATGTCTAAGCATTACTAAACCACTTTCTCAATCAGTCACTAATTAAAATACTTCACATTTAACTTAATGAGTAAAAACTTAAGCTGATTCATATAATAGGGTTTTACATGTATATATACATACACACAAACACATATATATGAAAACAAGCATGTGTATATACGTATTCACATTGAGAACTTAGGTTTACACCGGCATTTATGGAAATAGAGTGAAGGTTGGTCCTCTTTTTAAATTTAATCCATGATCTGAATATTTCAGATGAAAAGGGTAGCATGATCATGAAGTATTATATTCTCAGAAGAGTGTACAACTTGACTAACCACAAATACTATGATTTTTATGCACTATAATGTCACTATGCATGCTATTCTCAAAAATATTGTCTACAATATTCCTATTGTTTTGTTCTTCAGGTCTCTGGGATGCATTTTATATGAGATGTGCTGTATGAACCATGCATTTAGTGGCCACAATTTTTTGTCCGTAGTGTTAAAAATTGTAGAAGGTGATACACCTTCTCTTCCTGATAGCTATCCAAGCAAACTGAATGCTGTGCTGAACAGGTATGCTGTTTTATTGTTTAGCAGTTTTCTAAATTAATTTGGAAGATTATTGAATTATCATTTCTCTTTTTTAATATTTCAGCATGCTAAATAAGAATCCTACACAGAGACCAGCAGCAGCAGAGATTCTAAAAATGCCTTATATTGATGAACAACTAAAGGTATGTAAGAAGACAAACCGATCTGAATATGCATTTTGCAAAAGTGGAATGGAGGCAGAAAAAATTGTGTTGAGAGAAAATAAGTTTGATAGAAGTCCACGGGAACTGCACTCCGTTGGACTTTGAGAGCTAAATTGCAATATGACTGAGGTAGGGAGGCAGTGAAAAATGAAGGCCTTGTCACTTCACATGCTGCGTGTACCCACTTTGAAACGTTATGAACAATAAAGGGAGGAGGCATTTGTGTGTGACGTGCAGATTGTTTGGGTCTGGGTACATACGATCTCTAAACTCTTAAGGTTAGTCCTAGTTTCAATGAAAACTAGTGCATCTTGCTCGTTTGGTACCTAATTTAGCGTATATTCTATTTGGCTTTTTAAGGAATTTCATTAGGATTGTATCATAGGTGAAGAGGCTGGATCATTTTAGCCTTAAGTATTGAAACTATTTTTTTTCCCTCTCTTTTCTTCAGAATATACAATACAAACTCATGCATATGCCGGTGGAAAATGAAGCATTTCTCTGGCAGAAAGAAGCAGCTCACATTGTTGATGCTGTGTAGGTATTTTTAAGTGTTTTGTGGGCAGTAGTATGTGAAATTACAGTATTTCCAAGTACTATCATGTTGTAAGCGTTTATTTGTGTTAATCTCATAGTGCTATATATTTAAAGGAACCCATCCTCCAAAAATGCATAGGCAGAAGTACAAGCACATTAATGAGATATATAATTAAGATTTAAGGTGAAGAAGTCACTTTAAAAGCAAAATTTTTATTATGTAATTGTGTAGACTGGGCATGCATATGTAGTATATGCAAGTGTTAATTTAGTACCAGTTGGTGTGTAATTTAATTATGACCTTAGCCTTTATATTCTGAAGGTTTAGATCATCATTTTAATTATGATCATGATCATTTATAGCTCTGTTGTTTATGTACCTCCTAATTACTGAATTTGAAAGTTATGGTTCCTAAATGATGTCAAACTAGAAGTGTAAACATTTAAGCTAATATTCAGCTAATGCATCTGTAAAATATCATTATATTGTAACTGTACTGAGAAATTAATGCTAGCAATGTTTCTTGGATCTTACATCGGTAGTGCCTTTGCACATAATCATTTTAAGCACTGAATATGTTTTTTAGTTAATTAATTGTATTAAATTACAATGCTACAATGATTAAAGCGAATTTCAACATGGGTAAGTTCATTCCACCATTGTAAATTATTCCTACGCTTTCAATTGGAGCTAGTGTTTTCCTTTGCTTCCTGTCTCCAAGTTTTCTGTATGTGGCTTTGCTCTATTAAGAGGTGGAACATTCAAAATTGGAGGTTTGTGACATTGCATGCCACGCAGAAATAACAGCTATCCCTGTCTCTTGCTTACCTCTAAGCACTTGTCAAGACTTTATTTCTACTAATCAAAAGAAATTTTAGATAACAAATAAAGAAGTCCAGCTTGCTATTGTTCAGCACTGGTAGTACTTGTGATCCCTTTTGAGGCAACAGGGCTTCTGCCTTGGTTTTTTGTGAGCTCTGCTGTCAGAGCGGGTTGGCAGCTTTCAGCTGTGGGTCCTGCTGCAGATGCAATCACGCTTTCCAAACAAAGTATTGTTTCCTATTGGCAATAGGAAGAAAGCAGAATAGAGGCAGAGGAATTCAACACATTGAAGTCTTATGCATATCTTTTACCTGTTTTAACTACTTAGATTGCATCTGTAAAGCTCTCATTGCTAGAAATTGAGGTGCAGGTTTCCACCCTGTGGTTCCTGCTCTCACTGTCTCTGGTCAGATGAGTCTCTGTCTTCTCATCAGGCGGGAGTTCCTTAGTTTGGTTTCCGCTTTAGTATGAAGCAGGCCAGTGAATTTCAGAAGCACAGATGTAAAAGGCAATAATAAATGATGCCTGTATTGCCTAGTAATAACTATGTAATAAATGACAGCAAATGAAGCCCACTGAGACTGCTGTCCGGTTTTTGGCCTTCTTGCTATTCTGCTGTTATTGCTCTGCTAGAAGTAAACTTTTGCTATTATACTAGAAACACAACAGTGAAACAGATGTCTAATAGTCATGAAATATTAGACATCTCTTGTATCCATTGCTTCTGTATTCAGACTGATTCAGTTAACTCTCGGTGGTTCCTGCCTCTTCAGATGAAATATAGGTATTATTTGGTACCACAGTGATGTTCCTCAGAGATATACCTTAAATAGTTCTGGGGCATTGAAACCTAGCCCAAATATTATGCTAACCCTATCTGAATTATATTGAATATTAAATGCTTATTAAAGCATGAAGAATGGGAATCATTAAGGACCTTTTAATATGTGCCTTTATTATGTGATTTTTCATTTATAATCTGTACAGGATTTCAGATTATCTATATACTCGAAAAGATGATGAATATTGAAGAATCAGTGTTTTACCTGATGAAAAACATAGACTTCGGATATCTGTATGCTTCTAGAATAGAGTGCTCAGACCATTTTCTATTATCTGTGGCATGTACTGCATTCCATACCTTGTCTGTTGTCATTAATTTGAAAAATTTGAGTCTCATCACTCTTCCAAATTGATGTCATGTATTGACAAAACTAGCACACAGGGACAACATGAGTGCATATCCCAGAGTCTATAACTATTCTTGTACCTATTCGAAAGCAAGTCCATAATCTTTAAGACAAAGAGCAGATTCTAACTACAAATATCATGTTCTTATACTCTTATTAAAAGCAGATAGAAGGTCAATTTCTTTTGTGTTGAAGTCCAGAGCTCCTATGAAGCGTGGAGCAATGGAAAGCATCTATTTGTGTTAGAGCATGGAAAATTACCCTGAGTTTTTCAAATTCAGGACATCAACTTGAAGAAAAAAAAATCCTAGGAGAAACTTCCCTATAATTATCTTCAAATGTACTATGGTGTTATTCTTCTAGGTTAAATAACATCATGACTTTCATTGCATTTATGAGAACGTTGGCTGCCTGTATAGCTAGTGGTAAGCAAAATGCCAAAATGTTTTTTGCAATTCAAGTTCTAAAGAGGTAGATAAAATTAAGTCAAAACACCTGAAAAGTGGTGCCATTCAGAAAGGAAAGTAAAGGAGTAATTTAAACATGGATGATTTCACATGTCTGCTCTAATGAAGCAATGTTGTAGTCTAAGTGTGTATACTGTGGTGTCCTCCCCAGTCATTGTTGCTTTACATCTATTGTTTTTTGTCCAATGAGGAATTTTCTGGCATGAATAGTTGAGTCTAGTTTCTTCTAAGAGAAGCTTCTAATAATTTAGCTTATTCCAGTCCCAAGCAAGTCATAAATTTTAAATATTTAAGTAAGCATAAAGCAGTACAAGTTCAGTTTCATCTTGGATGAAAAATGGCTTTTTTTCTCCCCTTAGACGTTCTTATAATTTGAATTGGAGTTTGTTTCAAGGTACAGGAAATATGTCTATGTTATTCATACTTGAAGGGTTAGTTCCATTCTGATTAATAATTGAACTGTGCTTGTCTTTGTCCTTAGTCTTTCATATTTCACTGTTAACACTCGTATCTTTACAGTATTTCCCTCTATAGCCAGCATTTGAACATGAGAAGGCAAGTGTTCATATTGAAATCAGGATTTTAATAAAAGGATAGTGATAATCCACAAGGAGCTTTGCAATTTTTATGGTTACAAAGTGAGCTCTTAGAAGATCAGAAGTGAAATTATCTCACAAGAGCAAAAATAGCTGTTTGAAATTCATACTTGATATCGTAAAACTAAACAAGCCAAAATTTTAACGCAAGTGAAATAGGACTGCCAAGGCATTGCAAACTATGATTTAGTTTGTGTAATCTCTATAGGTAGTGATATTTATCTCGGATTTTATATCCTTTTTCTGACATAGGATAAATATTGCTCTCCCATGTTGATAAAGACAAACGAGATACATACGGCAATAATTCACGCTCAGGTTTCAGGGCTATGGAGAACATTTAATCAATAAATTGTTACTGTTCATTAGGACCAGAAATTCAAGCAGACAGCAGGATTATTATAGCTTTCATTAAAGGCACTTTAACATTCTCCTTTATTCTAGATACATTTTTGCATTGACTATTAAAAGTTAAAGTTGATACTGCTTTTTCAGGGGTTTTCATTTAAATTGAAGACAGTGGTTTTACTTGGAATATGCTGAATAATGAAGCCAGACGGCGTAAATATTTCAGTGTGCTTCAACATTTAGTCTTTTAAGAAAATGAGTTTGCCTTTTCGTATGCTCACATGAAATGCCTGAAATGATTCATGTTCTTCATGAATCTAAGTTTAAATATTTCAGTTTAAAAGAGGCGTTTGCTTTCTGAACTGTTGTCGATTTAGTCTGTTATAGTACTGTAACTTCCCAATTATTTCATTTTAAATGTCAGTATGTTTCAATATCCAGCCGAAATATTGATGTTTACATTTGTATGTAAGGGCAGGCTTGCATGCATTCAATTTCAGGCAGAGGAAGGTTCATTTGCAAACTCTGCGGGAGCGTTCTGAGGTGCAGAAGATGACACCGCGGGAACGAATGAGGCTGAGGAAGTTAAATGCTGCAGATGAGAAAGCAAGGAAGTTGAAGTAAGTTGTGCATAACATTAACATTGTGCCATAACCATGCAGTTTTCCCTTGATAACACTTTTATAAGAGAATTATGACCATCAAGATGAAAAAAGAAAAATTAAAAAGGTGCTTCAGCTACTCAAAGTGAATGGGGATTGTGGATTTTTAAGTCTGTAATTATTTACATAAAAAGAAAAGTTAGAGTGTTAGCTCAAAACTGATACTTCAAAACTGGTGTTTCTTGTCAGATAAATACATGAGAAATTTTCAGTTTCCTTATGATGAGAATTTTTTTTAATGACTTTTTGTAGCTTTTTTTAAGGAGTACACATTCTGAGAAGTCGGGCGTTTAGTTAAAATCCGTTATTTTTCTTCAATTGTGTTGGCCTAAGAGATTTGCCAATAAAAGTTAATAGCTCAGAGAACAGCCTTATCAAATGATCAAACGCAGGGATAGTGAACATGTTATAAAGCCTTTACAATTTATAGTTTTTTCTTAAGTGAGGCATAATAAAAGGGAGAGGTTTTAAAGGAGAGTAAGTACCGTTTCTGAGTCAAACTTGAGAAATAGTTTGAAGCCTATGTATGCATGCCGGGATTCTATTTTAAAATAAAAAGAAGAATGTACTATTTTGATGACACACTTGATTTTTTCCCAGTTAAAAATATTCGACATTTTTCTTCATACAAAAGAAAAATCAGAAAAGCACCACATTAAATCATTGAAAAACAGTTTTGAAGAAAACATTAAAAAGTGCAGTGTGCAGTAACAAACGTTTGTTCTATGATTTATTGATGTGTAAGAGTGGGAATAATTCTTTCTGATCAAGGCAATCAACATCTTAAGCTTGTCATGCCTAGGCAAGCTCACAATGCAATATGGCAATGACCTCCTGTTACAAACAACAATGCAAGGTAAAATGAAGTCTAAATTAATGGCTTCAGTAACTCTGCAGCTAGATATATTCCTCTGGAACTGTCCTTCTTCCCTGCCTCTCTTCTAATAACTGCAAAATAGCTTACCCATCCAGGCTAGGAAGAATACACATGAACAGTAATTGCAGATGAGTGGAAGTGCTCTGTAAAATTACATCCTACCTTTATTTGTGCTAACTTGCCATCCTTGTACCAAAAAACGAGAAACAAAAGAATTCAAAATCTTAATTTTCTCTTGCAAAAAAAGTCTGACCAGTATTTATGCCTGTCTGACATTTACCATTGCGTTGGAGACAAAGTACATTTGAAAATGGGTATATATGTTAATACTCATATATTTAAAAAAAAAAAAAAACTTATTTGAATGAAACCACCATATAACAGGTATTTGAATTTAACACCTTTTCTGCATGTTTTCAACAAAATGCTTAACTAGGACAATTTTTATACTTATTTGAAATTTATAAATTGGAAGCTTACCTTTTTTTTTTTTTTTCCTTTTTTTTTAAACTGGTACAGATTAGGAAGTAATAGTAGTTCTCGGATATTTTAGCTTGCTTTTCATTTTTTCACTTCCTTAAATTTCATCATTTCCTATTTAGATTTTCATGATCTTTCACCCCCACAGCAACACAATTAAATATATCCATCCTGTAATACAAAGGCAGCGTATTAATCTCCAAATCTTATTCTCAGTCCTGAATCTTTAACAGATGATTCAGCTCTGGATTATTGCCAGGGGACTCTGGCTGAAAATAGTTCTAACAATGCAAAAACCACGGTACTTTCTCAAACTGGAGATCTGCCTTCAGCAGTGCAGCTCTAGACATGGGTGAGCAGGGAGCTGGGAAATTTGTGAAGTGTTTATAGCGTGTAAATGTTATGTACCTTTCTTCAGCTGAAAGCTTCCTCAGTGGCGTGGTGAAATCGAGTTCAAATTACTTAAGATAATTTAATACTTTTCAAATATATTGTGCAAATTGTGAAAGGTATATATGAAACTGCTTGTAAATAAGGCCTGAATTCTGTTTGTGGGTTCACTGAAACTGACTGCAACTTGAGTAGATGCCTTGAATGTTTGGCATCATGGTAGTTTTATTATGGAATTTTCTTTTCCATGTATACTTTTAGAAAATCCCTCTGTGCATCTCCTGACATCATGTCCTAAATACAAGTAATCTATATTCACAGACAGCTGGCAGAAGAAAAATATCAAGAAAATATCAAAAGAATGCAAGAGTTCAGGTCTCGTAATTTTCAGCAGTTGAATGTCAATGTCCTACATGTAAGTATGGGCTGTTGTTTTGAAAGTCTTATATACGCACCTCTAGTGTACGCTACTTCTCTATTTTTACCACACGCTTTCTTTGGTCCTAGAGGCACAATCCTACCCTGAGTTTAATAATGAGGACATGCATTGAAGTCTAGACTGCTTAGCTGAACCTGAATCTGTGTTGAGGGAAAGTGTGTTCAGGTATTAAGAAATGATTTAACAAATTCTTTGTACAATGCACAATTTTCTTTTTTTCCAGGCCCTCTTAAATCCAAAGCTACTGTCTGAAATGTTGTGGCTACTGAACATCCTATGTGATATTAGAGTTTGAAATACGTTCATTTTCTGGATAACTTTAGAACTGTAGTCCCTTAAATACCATATTTTGGCATGGGTGCTGGTTCTTTTCATTTGATTAATTTAGAATATTAACATTCTAACTGACTCTTTAGTAGGAAGAAAGTCTTGGAGTGACTCCCAGTGTAAGCTATCATTTGCTTTTAAGATACCTACAACAGAAGATAGGCCCGTTCAACCCTAGCATTATGGCTTATCACAGAAACAGCAGTGTTGAGTAGGAAGACGTCAGTGAAAGCATCACAGAAATAAAGAGTTTTTATTTTGTTTTGTTTTCTTTTCTTTTTTTAACGCTTTGTTCTCTATCCCCTTTTCTTTTATGCACTCCAATTTCTGTTTCCTATTGTCTCTGGAAAAACAGTCATGCTAAATCTTTCCTTGTTTATAGCTGAGTCACTGATTATTAAAATTAAAAAAAATTATTAATTTTTTTTAAAGTATTGACTTATTGCAAGTGCCAGCAGTTGTATAGATCAGGATAGCTCTCCATGCTGCTTCAACGAAGGGATCTGATGAACAGACTTCAACCCTCCTAATTCGTTCTCAGCCAGTCATTACACGGGACTATGTGTCCATAGGACATGATGAAGCAAGTGGAAATGACACATCAGGTCAGCTCTGTATGTCTGAACCTATGGAGCATGGTAAGAACTTAAAATTTGATGTTGAAATGAAACTTCCTACAGCAAAGCAAGATTTAATTTTGTCCTTGGTAGTTAATTTATGGTGAAGGAACTGCAGTACAAAAAGCAGTCAAGTTCATAAAGTTGTCAAAAGATCTACAACGAGAAAAGGAAAATAATCTGGGTGGATGGATGGACAGTAGAGCTACATGGCAGAGTGGTTCGTGTTCCCAGAGTTTAAGAGCATCAAAGAAGGTGAACACACCTTCTCCAAATGAGGGGCTGAGTAAGGAGGAGACAGTTTTAACCTTTGCACATATGAAATGGCTGGTGTTAGGAGAGCATCTCTTAAATTATCTCTCCAGTGGAAAAACGAGAACCAAAATATGGAGCATTTACCCTTTAATACCCCTGGAGCCATTTTTGTTACATATAATAAATGAGAGAAGCAGGTGAAAGCTCTTTAAACTGTGCTTATCTATATTGTCCTGAAAGGCTTAGCCACTGTCTTGAAGCTGTGAAGTACTATATAACATGTACTTTACTGTAGTTAGATGAACAAATAGTCAGGCTTTTGCAAATGTGGCAGACTGTAGAAATAATGTACTTCCTAATTAGGAAAGTATTTTTGTTAGCACAAATATATCTTCTGTTTCTATACTGTTCTAGAACAGTGTCATACTTTCCAATATTTAAGAATCATTGTGTAAGCACTATTTTGGTTAACAGATTTTTTGATCAGACTAGAATCTTGCAAGTGTGTCTTGGTATACTTTTAAATACTTAAACTACTTCTCTCCTAAGAGCTCTGGCTTTTGGTGTTAGTTTATGTATGCCTGTGAAGGGTTACATTACTAAATCAAAGGTATCAATATTGGTTAGTTTGTGATGGTGATTTTTTTAATACCTTTTTTTCCCCCCCTCTCAATGCAGCCTCATTTATGCCTGTGAGATTGGCTTGCTCTTTCACAGTATAAGGGGGGGGTGAACTGTGTAGGAGAGAACGCAGCTGCTAGAAAGTACATCCTGGGGGCTGGAGATTGCAAGTAGCAGAGCAAGAGAAAGCAGTAGATGGGGGTGGGAGGTATGCTGGGGGAAGCATACAAAGATACCTAAATAGAAACAGAACAACACACAGGAAAGGAAAGGAATTGATGTCTCTGTCTTTAGAGTTCATTAACTTGTTAAACTTTAATGAGAGAAATCAGATGCATTTCCATCTATGATGCAAAGTTTGGCCTGTCCGTTGTACAAAGCTGAATGTGGATTTAATGGCATTGCTATTGTTAGATTTATTGACAATGAAGTGATGGGTTCATGACTTATGGATAGGCAAGAGAAATTACATGGTTTATCTTATTTGCTTTATGAATATCTTGTTATTCCTGAGTTTCATGTAAAAGCTGTTACTTTATTCAGTATTCATACTCTTCTTTATTTTACACATTTCAGTTCGACTATGAATGTCCTACATGTCTAATTATTAATGAATTTATTAGTGGAATCTTTGTGTTTGAAAATGTAGGAAGAGTTCCAGCTATTCATTTTCAATAGAATTTACTTTTGGATCAATAGTCTATAGGACAGGAAAAACCAGAAAACTAGAATGAAGGTTATAAAAATGATTTTATAAAGTTGTGTGTTAGGTGTTTTAAAAAAATCTCCAAGCTCCCCAGCTAGTTACAGCTAGTAAGTTAACAACAGTGGAGGAGGTGGAAAAAAGGCAGGAGTGGAAGCTGTTCATGACTGCCAAGGAGGCTCAGCAGCAGCAACCTCAGAGTTACTTCAGGTCAGATGCAAAACATCATCTCAGGAATGGGAAAAGCTGGTTGTGGAGTAGCCAAGGGAAGTGTCTCCTGTCTCCCTCCCAACAGGTAGGGAGGAAAGTTCGAACTATCTTTGGCTTATGTGCTGCAGTCCTTGGAAAATTTGCAACATAAATGGAGAAAAAAATACTAGAGCCTGGAGAACTGGAAGACCAGGCCCTTAAAGGGTTAGGGTGAGGAGCAGAGAACAAAACACTTCACACTGTGCTTTCACTGAAAATAAGCTACAGCACTGTGGGACACCGTTGTGTGTGACTGGAGGAGATATTATCAAATAAAAGGTCAAGATTTAGTTTTAACAAGTAGTTTTAAAAAGCATGGTAACTCGATCCAATTTTAGAAGGAGTAGGTACGAATGTTGTAAGCTGGGAAAAACAAGGCAGTGAAGTTATGTAAATGAAAAACACTACAACAATTTAGGATTTTGGGCTGCGTGGTGGACAAGTTTCAGTAATGCTGAAACAATTAACTGCTGTAGACTTCCGTGGCAAGTTTAAAATTCTTTTCATATTTGAGTTACATAATCAGCAATGATCTTCTGAATGTTTTTTTTTTTCCATTCTAGTTATCACCTCTGTGTACTTAAGGGATGTATAAAAGAGTTACCTAAAGCCGCAAATAGTTGACCAGGTTGTTAGTCCTCAAGCAGCTTTTGATCGTGAGATTAATTCACTGTGTTACATCACAGTTTTGTTCAGACTGTTCACAGGTTTTACAGAGAAATGCTGTGGACAATGTAAATTCTACTTTTAAACAACATTATGTTCCTTACTATGCCATCCAGCTGCCTTATGTAGATGTATGTGTTCCTCATAGAAATGAGGGACACTGCTGAGCAGTTTGAGCCTTGTAGGACTGATTCAATCTGGCTCTTAAATCTAACTGTTCAGATGTCACCTGCTAAGCTAGACTGGTTTGTGATGGCCGTCACACCTTGACACACTGTCATGTTTCTGTCGTGTTTCTTGCTGATCACTTCAGGGATTCTGGGTATACATCCTGCACAACGCTCCTTGCCTCAGCAGAAAATGGAGAGCTTTGCAGGGGTGAGGAGGGGAAGGATGAAGAAATATGCACTTTTGCTGACAGAAATCACTTTGAAAACCGTATGTGCTTGCACTGATTAAACTCAAGAAGAAAGTGATCCAGTTTTAACCTGGGAGTCGGTAAAAGTGAAAAATTATGTGAATAGTAAGTTGTGCTATTTTTGCTTTAATGAGCCAAGAGAGGAAGGTGCGCATTAAGTACTCCTATTTCTCAGCCATTATCTTGGCTCCTCTTGGTGCTCTGCTAGAGAGAAAGTG